AGTTTTGCCTTATATAGGAGCAATCCTAATAATATACAAAAAACTTTTTATCAAAAGAATTTGTACCTTAAGACCTTGAAATTTTGATTCTATTTCGTCTATTCCACATAAACACAAACGGAAAACACCTACACACATACTAAACTAACTTTATTATATCCATGACCAGGAAAAATGTGCATTATTACTCTGTGAGGTCAAACGTTACACAATAAAGAAAGATTTGATTAATAATCCCACAATATTGCGCCACCACAAGATAATTAGTTCCATACATTAACCGAATCTCCTCTTTACATACGAAAATGCACGCAACACATATCATGTCTCAGGACGGCAACCTAACAGCGTAAGATAATGATTCCATTACCTACACTTTAGGATAAATGGACGCAGTACCAACTTAATAATGTAAAGTGCTCCAGAGATGGTGAGTGATAAGACTCTGCCAAAGGCAAATAGGCTGAGTAAGGTCTTAGGATGTGATAGACTAAAGAGAATTTAATTATTTTGTCCTAGCTTAAGCATTTTTGTACGAAAAAAGATTCAGTGAGAAAAAGAGGTTTAGTGAAATTCCAGAAGATTTAGAGTTTAGACGATGAACTTTGAAATAATTGGGCAGATTGTCTCATTAATCTAGTAATCATGGATAACATTTCTGAGTAACCTTAAGAAATTTGTTATGAAATAATAATGATGTAATCCTAAATAAAAAGCTAGAGATATGAGGCCCAAAAAATCCGGATTATGTACTTAATACATGGCTATTGTTCACAATTTAAAACAGGTAGGTAGCTACTATTCATGCCTCACTTCCATGGCAATTTTCACAGCGCAAATTTCCAACACCGGCGCGTCAGTAGATTAATTGATAACTGCTAATTATGCACACCCGAACCCCAAGACTCATCGCTTCACACCAACAAAATCCGTTGCAAAAACTTCCCAGTAGGTTTAATTAAACTTTGGCAACTAATTAACGAATTACAACTTTTGTTTTTACTTGAAAACGAATAAAAGTCGTCCTTGGCGTTGCGTAGAGAATTCTCAGTACGTTTATGTTGTACCAGGATCGCATAGAATTATAGTGTATATAATGTTCCTACGTTTCGAAAGAAAATCTTGGAGTGCCTTGAACGGGGAGCTCATACTGTGTGGTGTTCATGTTTCCTTTGTAGTTTCAAAAGATTATCTTCTTATTGCGAAAAAGGTAGGTTAGTTTTAAACACTGAGATTTGTCTGTAATAGTGTTTTTTTTTTGTTTTAATGTCATTGTATAAAGTCTTGATTTACTTTCTATCATTCTAGGGCTTGTTTATAAGAGTAAGAACTTAACTGTATTATTAAACTTAGTTCTGTGGTTTAAGTATTTGTCCATCTCTTTGTTGCAAGTTACTTCATCCTTTGAAAATACGGAGATACTTAAAATGTTTGTTAAATCTTCGGCCTCCATAAAATCAGTAACAAAAAGCGCCTAACTTATTTTAAGACACGCCCCGTCCCTTATCGTCTAAAAATAAAACATCAACCCTGACAGTACCTACACACTTAGGTAAAATCTAACAATTGATGATTTTTTGATACGCTCGTCCATCATTCGGGCTCGCCTTTAAAAATAGCCATGCAGGGCTTTTTACCGTACCGTACATTTATACTGCCAGCCCTATAGACAGTGAACCTTCAATTAATCAACTTCAGACCCTGGACTGAGACAGCCCTGATAGAGGGAGACAGGTGATATTATTCAAAAGGTTATAAGACCAAATTCCACATAATTTGTCAAGCTTACCAACGGTTGTGTGTATTGAATACAGAATATCGAAACATAATTATTTACATTCAGCTACATAGATATATACACAAGTATTTTATTACATTAAAGACTAAAATTTCTTTTTCACTGTTTATTTTTTTAAACGTGGACACAGGAGACAGTACCAATGTATTGTCTCCTGTGTCAAGGGTAAATTTACAAACATTATTTGTGGATCACACAAATAGCGGGAATCGGAACCGCTATACGTTGCGCGGCAGCCTGTGGCCACCGTCTTCACATGTAATATTCGATTCGCGACTTAGCAGTTTCAATAGCTCTGGCGTAACATCAACCTAAAGCCTTCTCTTCAACTCAGGGAGTATGTTCCTGACGTCACATTGGGCTCACCGCTATTCGTGGCCCGCGACCGCTGCGACTGCGATCGGCGGTCATTCATTCACTCGCTCACCCGACACGACGCCGTGCGCACATATCGGTTGACCCTTACAATCAGTACCTATTTAAATACAGTCTTCTCATCATACCGAAGTCTTTTATTATTCAAGACCACCTGCAACACACCTGGAGCTTGATATTCAAACAAGCTCTCTTTAAAATTTTACTAGGAGTGCCTTAAATAACTAGTCTTATAATCCAATATCTAAACCAAAACTTCTGCTATCCATCTTCATGATACCCTGAAGCGAAATCTAAGCTCTGTATAGAAGAGCGAAGTTAAATTGGTGTTGCCATAATTAAGAATGAACTCATGAGCCTCGACTTGCCGGAATTAGGGACGAAACAGTAATAGCTTCTGAATGTCCCATTTGCAGCGTATTTGCAAGTTTCTCCAAGTTTCAAAGAAACTTTAGTCCCTTAACGTAATCAACTGTAGATGAGTTTCGGGATATATATAGTCAAATTATTAATATTATGTCATTTTATTCGGGTATTTCATTTCATCTATTTCAATGGTCACCTATACAGTTTTAAAATGTGTGTGGTTCAAGTGTGGGAGAGCCATGTTTCGGCACGAATGGAACAACTCGACCGAAGTGATACCACAGCCTCACAGAATACCGACGTGAAACAACGCTTGCGTTGACTTTCGTCGTGTGAGTGAAGTTACTGGAGGCCCAATTACCCCCCTTCGCCAGTCTTCCCAATTCCCGAATCCTCCACAATTCACAAATTCCTAATTCCCAAAACGCCGGTAACGCACTTGTAACGACTTGGTGTTCCAAGTGTCCATGAGCGGCGTCGATTGCTTACCATCAGGTGCTTGCGATTGCTCGTTTATCGGCTTATGCAAAAAAAAACTCAAAGCCTCGACTTCTTGTTGTTAGGATTCTTAGATTGTGTTTAGGAATTTAAACAAGGATTTTAATTTAATTTGACATAATTGGCTATTAAAATATAAGCATGCCAAATACAGTAGCCAACCCATCTTACTTTTAGGGTATAATCCGCTAGAATAATAAAACTTATACAGTTATTTTGGTTACAGAACTTTATACATTTTCACAACTGAAATATCAAGTTTTTAGCTCAAGATATAAACCTTATTATAGTATTCGAGAAAAGTTTGCCGCAGACAAATTAATTTAAATGTATGAGGAACATGTTCAGAATACTTAAATAGAATGGAAAGTTGCGTTGTACGATTGTAGTAATAATACACGTCTGTAGTCTGAAATAAAATGTTATATATTCGAACAGCGATATTATAACAGATAGTCACGTAGAACAACTAAAGATAAAATGAAAATGTGCAGTGCTTTTTACGATTTGCCAAGTACAACATAATTGCAAATAGGACTACCAACAGCGTGATCTATGGATCGCAAAGTAATATGTCATGTCAATCATGCTTTCAAATAATTTAAATTTTATCTCATGTATGTGTATGTACCTATCCATACAAATACTGGTAGAATATATCATCAACAGCCTATAAATGCCCACTGCTGAGCAAAGCCTCTTTTCACACGGAGAAGGTTTGAGCATTAATCACCACGCTTGCTCAATGCGGGTTGGCGATTTCAAACTTATAATTAGAAATTATAAGTCCAAGTTTCCTCACGATATTTTTCCTTCACCGTTTGTCAGTGGTGTCTAAATAATCTTAGAAAGTACATATAACTCGGAAATGTCACATTGGTACTAGCCGGTTTCGAACCTGCACCCTTATGCATGAGTAGCAGGCGTCTTAAAACTCCGGGCCACCACGACATAGAATATAACGATCCCTGATTCAGAGCATAATCAGTTCAAGTTCGGTTTATCAACTTCTCTTTTCTATCAATGTTTTAAATTTTAGCGTCATCTGTCTATAGTTAAATAGCACATACATACTTATATTACACTCTTAATACCCAACTAGAATATATGACCCTCGCTTCGGTTTCAATCAGACACAGTCCTCATTCTCATATGATGCGCACATTATGTCAAAACGTTCACCGAATGAGTGAATGAATGAAAGCTTTGTTTCGCGAACAATACGCGACTAATGTAACGAAAGTAATGGCCGGTATTGTACTGAATGAATGATAAATAAGTTTTGTGTAAAGTATGAGTGATACATTATGTATGATTGATATCATTTTAACTGGAGCGTTTTTGTGTTGTGAGAGGAACAATGGCGTGTGTTTTTGGTGTATGTGCTTTGTAATTAGAAAGACTACGTTACATGTAGAGGTGAATAAATAATATAATATTATATTCGACTGCATGGTTGGTGCGGTGGCTGGGCAACCGGCTGCCGTGTAACGTGTCACGGGTCCGATTCCCGCACGGAACAACACTTTGTGTGATCCACAAATTGTTGTTTCGGGTCTGAGTGTCATGTGTATGTGAACTTGTATGTTTGTAAACGCACCCAAAGGAGATAAACCTAATGTGGGGCAATGTTTTTTAATAAAAGGTAAAAAAGTGCGTAAGATCTCTTGCACACGATGCCGCCGACACATCGACTGTTGCCGCACGTCGACGGCAACAGTTGCCTCTGTTATTAGCAAAATCCCACTTGTGTGTAACAGCTCTGACTTATCTGAAACGACATTATAATTTCAAACACACTACTATTAAGAAATGATTTTATGTTTTACTGCGACTATCAGAATTGTTTTTAATAATGTCGTTAAAACAGTTCACCGTTCCAGTTCTCCAAGGTTTTTCTCTGTTTATAAATATACTCACATAAACCTTCCATGCTTACACACATCGTTTCTTTTTAATCCAGATTATTCGAAGAAAACGAAGACCTACTGCATTTATTCGAGAAATTCGGGGAGCTGAAGACAGCTGAGGCGCAGATGAGCTCTGAGGAGTTGGCAGAACATGCCACGAAAGTGATGCATACTTTGGACGAGGGAATCAAGGGGCTGGCGGACATTGATGCATTCTTCGCATATATTAGACACGTGGGAGCTACCCATCATCAAGTCCCAGGGTTTAAAGCTGAGAATTTTTGGGTAAGTTGGGTGTAACAAGGTTTATATTATTAATTTGTAGGTAATGTTTACTACTTAAATCTAATTAAGAATTTACTCCATCTATGTATATTAAAAAAAAAAAATTTCCATTCGTCGGTTTCGCTAAAACTCGAGAACGGGTAAACCGATTTGGCTAATTTTGGTATTGAGATGTTCGTGGAAGTCTAGGGACGGTTTAAAAGGTGAGAAAAAATACGAAGTTCAGCTAGTAATTAATTAATTTTGTATAACTTGACACTATCTTGTTGATTGAGTTATCCTGACAAAGGGACCCTCATTCACGATGGGGCCAAATAATTATCATGATTTTGGTGTGTGATATTTTGATTTTTTCTTGGATAAATAAGCGTGATTTTTATCGATATTATAATTAGAAGTAGCAATTCTTAGAAGCATATTAATTAATGAGGTCAGAACGGTTAGGTGCTCCGATGTAATCGAAAGATGTAACCCTGGCTATTTTATTTTAGCCTACAAGTAGACCATGGTCTAATCTAATTAGTCATGGATTATTTATAGTTTCTTCTACGTTACTTGTAATAAAATGTATAAAATATCTTTATTTTCAGAAAAAAGCAGTCTCGATTTGTGTCTGGTATATTATGGCAATGGGTAACTCTTTTATAAAAAAGGATATAAAAACTTTGTAAAAAAACCAATAAGAAAACTTTATCAAATAATAATGGTCGATTTGCAAGATAATATGCTTTTATGAACAAGTCTTTAGCGCAAAAATAAGACATTTAATTTGAACAAATTCCTTTATGAATGCAATAAATTACATAATAACATAACATCACGCCTTTTATCCCCGAAGGGGTAGGCAGAGGCACACATTACAGCACTTAATGCCACTATACAATGTAACACCAACTTGTTCACTATTTATGTTATGAGTCCTATAGAGGTATAATAGGGGTTGCCATATACCGGGCACATATCCAGACTACGTGCTACTACTGAGATTTTTAAAACCCAGTAATACTTTGCCCGACCCGGGCGACCACCCGAGACCCCTTGCCCGAAATATATTGCAATAAAATAAAACAAACAAATATGGAATATTCAACTGAACACAGAATTTCGGATACAAAATTTGAGATTTATTGAAAGGAAATTTTTATGCAACACAAATATGGCTGGCTGCCAACCCTAAAGGTAAAAGAGCATGAACGTTAAGCATCTCATAATTCCGGACGAAAGGTTAGCTGAAAGCTCCTGAAATGTTCATAAAAGTCTCGTCTTCATTCGCTAGGTTTCAGTAAAAATGCAATATCGTCTTGCTTGTGTATTTTTTATAGCATTGAGGGATATTGGCAATCGTACGTGTTGGATACACCCTGTATATACATATATGGTGTTGTTATTATTGACACATGACTTGGTAATCATACTTTTTGCTATTGCAGTAAGACTTTGAAAATACCAGTGAGATATTATTTCTGTTATGCAAAAGTTACATTATATTGCGAGAATCCTTTTTACATTAATCCGTTACAACTTTTAATAAAATCTTCATCACTATTATTCTTTACAAAGAACAACTATTACTTCTACTCAGTACTCCATTAGAGAAGAAAATAAGCAAATATCAACAACAAGGAATGCTGCACGGAACTTAATTAAAACTAGACACAGTTTGCTTAAACAAAAATATTAATTAACTTGAAGTAAACTGGCAGTATTTCAATACAGGGACATAGTTACAAGTATCTATAATACTTTGAGCGAAGACACTGAGAGGAAATAATTGGAAAAGAACGGGACGGGCCTTAATACTCTTACTTTGAACGATGCACTTAGATACGACGCGCCGGTCATTGGAGAATAACAATTTAAATTACAAAAGAGGCTTGCTACCTATCAAGTACCAATTATATTGTTTTGCTATTGTATTTGTTTTTCAAAAGCCTGATTTATCCAACGTCAGTTACATTTTAACTAAAGAATAACTTTGAATATTTGACAATTCTTCCATCCTAAAAACTGTCATAATTATGTAAATTATATTCTACAGTTAATAATTAACTGCTGAAACATCGGCCCTAAACGATATGGTGTTTAATGAAGTAAAATATTGTCGGATTACTTGACGTTTTGAAGTCATTAATTGGTGAATAAATCTTTTCTCATTATATATCATTTCATGCGCATAATACGTACATAATGCTGACTTAATGCCGTGGGCATTTGTTAAAAGCCAAATGACTATAGGTACTTTTCCTTTTAAATACCATTAGTTAATTGCTTTGGCCAAAAGATGTTTTGCCCAGTAACTGCCCTACTGTTGCTGGGGTAACTGTCGTATTAATTGGTGAAGAGATTCAACTATCTTTTGTGTTATGAACCAAAAACTGACTCAAACATTATAAAAAAGCACTAGCAGTTTGTAACCAAAGATAACCCGAAAACTCACATATTTAGACCGATATAACAACTATAGTAAACTAACTTCTGTTCTTCGACTTCGTACGTGCAATTCCGTTTCCTCCCATTCCGTAGGATTTTCAGGTTTTTTCTGCCTTAAAACCTTCTCCTATTAACACAAACATAAAAAAAAGAATTAGTAATATCGGTCTAATCATTCACGCGTGATACCGTGATTTTTTTTATGGCATAAGCCGGTAAACGAGCGGACGGATCACCCGATGGTAAGCAATCGGCGTCTCCCATGGACACCTGGAACACCAGAAGCGTTACAAGTGCGTTACCGGCTTTTTAGGTTTAGGAGTTTGCGGGTCGTTGGGGATTCAAGGGTTGGGGAGATTGGGGACGGGGAGGGTAATTGGGCCTCCGGTAACCTCACTCACACGAGGAAACACAACGCAAGCGTTGCTTCACGTCGGTTTTCTGTGAGGCCCTGGTATCACTCCGGTCGAGCCGACCCATTCGTGCCGAAGCATGGCTCTCCTACACTTAAACTATCAAGAGAAATAGATTAGTAAGATCTTGAATACATACACCAATATCGTTAATACTTCAAGAAAGACCTATATACAAAGAGTTTGTACGTAAAACAAAGTAGTTACTAAGTTTGGCACGAGGCGCGCAAGAGCTCGGATTGAAGAACAATATCATTTATAAAGTTTCTGTTTTGTGCCGTAATGTATCTTGTTAGTTTTCTTGTTCGACTATTAAACTTATGTTTCCTTTTAATAGGAAATCTGTTTCGTTTAAGTAATATCAGAAGTGAGTTGAAGTTTTTATTTGATTTGTTTAATATAAATACAGACTGACTGACTATTGACCTAGTTGATGGTAGCACGTGTGATTACTGATTGATTTCGGACTCAATTGATATTATGACCGAAATTTATAACCTACCTCAATCGAAAGTCTGTGTGTAAGGATCGATTTTGGACAGAAACGCCATACAATTAACGTTCATAATCGATCCTTACCTAGATTGAGATAGGTTACTAAATTCAGCCTTTAGAATGGCCTTTAAACTCGCAAGATGACTAAAAATAGATATAAAAAAAGTATTTAATGATTTAGAGCAGACAATTTATTGAATACCATTTGATTTTCTCTAATTGAGACAACTATACACATTTCATTATTATGTTTTCAGCTTATTCACGTAACTGTTCGACGAGAAACTCGACTAGTTTCAAGCCATGCTAGAGGCTCATGTTTATGAGCAGTATTTTGCACCACGCGACGCGGCGACTGTCGCGCTGCTACTGGCTACTCTGCAGTGCGCTGCTCATGAATGTGAGCCTCTAGCATGGCTTGAAACTAGTGGAGTTCCTCGTCGAACAGTTACCAGGTAAAGCCGAAAACATAATAATTAATTTAGTATGTCTCACGAAAGTTATAATACAAACATAATTATACAATTAATGTTCCATAGACAAGTCATCATTCTTCTCTTCCTATTCTGCATAGTAAATCGATACAATAATCCACCTATAACACTCAAACATGAGAAGAATTAACATCATCCATCATTTGAACGGCCATAAAAATCGACCAAAAATTGACCCTACGTACTTTGAAGCAAAGATCAGTTTCCTAAACGCTATCTGATCTCCACACGTATTAAGGCTAAGTGATGGAAGCTCAAACTTTATAGCACTGGGTGCATTAGCGATCATTTTACACTTGTGTTATATTGGCACTGTTCCCCCAGTCACATCTGTTCTTTATACCACTTTATACGACGTATCGTAAAAATACTTTAAAATTGCTCTTGGACTCAGAACTTACTTGAACCACGTAAGGTAATGAGAGCGCAATTTCGCTAGCGGTACTGCGGTCCTTGTATGCATAACTGCTTATACATAGTTACTGTGGGTCATATCTAAGGTTACAGGTTTAGTTAGATTAGCAAATAATATTGTTACTTAATTTTAAACAACAAAGATTGCTTTTTATTTGTACTTTTTTTAATTCTTTGCTATTAACCCGTGGTATGCCGGAACGTACCTATATACAACCCGAGACACAATGTCTCATTTGCCGGCAGATAAGAGGTTAAAACATGCAGTAAACTTAACTAATATAATATGTAATTAATTAATTATCTTATCGCTAAACGGGTATGCGATATTAGAGGTATATGAACTAATCTTAGCCTCAGTAGCAACACTAACAACTATCTGGCCCAGTTAGTTATATAATTAGATAAATCACGAATCTCCTTGAAACCACGGACCATCATAAGATCAAAGCCAAAAAAATCCAAACGGAATAATTAATATGACTTTTGATGTAAGCTCTCAAGAAACCAAATTAACTTCTACTCATTACAAATCCTCTTTATACCGTTATTTCTATCTTTCATTTTTCTTATTATCTTCCTAATTGGGTCTGTAATTACCACAAATTAATTAAGCAAGATTAAATATGCAATAATGTACTTTGTTTAGTTGTATATATGAATTGTAACCGATGTGTGCCTATTTAAGACACTATAGTACTTAGTTTTAACAGTATCCTTCTATCTTGTAGCCAAAGAATAAAAATGAACAATATACTCAATATTTCAATAGTTACTACCGTGTTCAGACCTTATACCATTCGTCTTTAAAAATAATACTGTTTTCTTTTTCAATCAATACCCGAATGTGATAATCCACTAGCTAATAAAGCTGAAAATGATATGCCAAGTTGAATTTCTGGGTCAAATATTTATTAGTCAATTGAATAATAAAATAATGCAACATCTATTCATTCCCCACAAACATAACTGTTAACAGCACCCTTATCTCTATCCACAGAAAATCGAGCAGCCATTCCTACAAGCAGCTAAAACGACGCTAGCAGACAGATACACGCCAAACATCGAGGAAATTTACAAGAAGACCATTCGGTTTATCCTGGAGAACCTGGTCAAGGGTTACGAGGACTCCGCAGTCGAAAACGGGAACGGACAATCTTGACAGAGCTATTAATATTTAGTGTAGGTTAATTATAAAATTATGGTTACCATAGTGTTTGTTCGTTAGATTTAAACTTGTCACAGATTGCTTTATTTATCAAATTACATCGAATGCTTTATATTCATCAATCACTTCATACACGAGGAGTCATTTATATCTACGTTCGTAACAATTTCATTTACTTGTAATTTCATAAACTACATTCATAAATCATACATTCTCATCTTCATCGTCATCTGAATTTTCTAAGTCATCCTAACATTTTCATTCAATGAGCAGCAATTAAATTAAATTTGTGTATACACCACCATTCATATCATATCTACATTTTTAGCATCTTCGTCATCTACATGTTCCAAATCGTCATAATATTTCCATTCCAATTATTTTGTGCCGTTTACACCTTCATTCATTTCATTTTCAGCATCATCAAGTCATCTAACACCATCATTATCATTATAGGTGTCATTTCAATAGCAATAAATGGAGAATGGAACTTCCCGTCTTTTTGTCATAATCTTCCTAAATTGCAAACAAAAGTTCCATCTTGATCATATTATCGAAGCTGCAATTATTATTTAGGTTTTGAAAATATATAAAACCTATGCTTACATTTATTCCTTTAGCTACAAAAACAACCTCTCTTTTGATTATTTCTAGAAAAATTCAAGATAATACAGAATAAGAAATCTTAGTTTCATTATTACATTTTGGGCGTAATTTTCTCTCTCTTTTTACCTTAAACTTCATCCAACTAGGTTTACTTACTTTAGACGATTTTTCTCAAACTTCTATTCATATTTCATGCACATTAAAATAATTTAATTCAGTTTCATAAACACTGGAGTTGGGCTGTCTGCCAAGAACTAAGACTAAAGTTCGGCTAAGTTATAGCTCTTACTTATGGACGCAGTAAGTATTACTGAAATCCTAGTTTTTTCTATGAAGGAATCAAATACATTTTGCTCCTAATGTTTCTGTTCAGTCTTAAACTTGGTTAAGAAATATAGAAATTGTATAAATTAATTTCCTTAAGAAACAAGCTTTTATTCAACAGTCGACGTCTTTGATGAGTTGAGAATGATATCGATATATACAAGGTGTAGTTTTGGAACCGTGTCATTTCTCGGGGGCATGTCACAGAAGTCATAAAGGTTCAATGTAAGAGAAAGTTTCGGGCCAACAGTTAAAAATACGGCTATAATAAATCGTTTAAGTTCGACAGTATTTCAGAATAAGCGACAACAATGTTTCAAATTGGAGTTTTATGGAATTAGAAATAATATCAATTACGTGTTTGAGTTTGTGTGTGTTAAGCCGCGTTATAAAGCTAGTTACAAGACTGTGGCGTGTAGTTCGTACTAACGGATTTCTGTAATTTACAGAAAAAATAAAAATTTTTACCTACAATTTTTTTATTGATTCGGACTTAGAATCGATAGCCGAGTTACCTTCTAGTAAATTACGCGGCTTTAAAACAACACGTTGTATTTATGAATGAAAGTGTTGCTGCACAAATCTTGACAACAGCAGCACAAATTTCGCCAATTCTCTTATTGTTGGCTTTGTTATTGTTAGAAGGATTTTATATAAGAAAACAATAACAAATATGTGCAAAAAGTGTTCAGAGGAAAATGATTGGTCTCAGGGTTCACAAGTTGTTGATAAAACTGAATAATAACCTAAGTTAAAGAAGCTACCCTTCTTTAAAGAAGATATCCATAATCATCATCAATTTGTATTCGTCCTATTGCTAGGGCAAAATCTCTTTTCACAGAGAAAGAATGAGCATTAATCACCACTTTTGTCTACGGCAAATTAGCGATTTCAAACTATTTATATGAAATTGCATCAAAGTGTACTCACGATATCACCTAACTTTAATTTATAATTGATACATTGTATGTTTTTTTAAGTACTTTTTGTTAAGGTTGGGGTATTCTAATTTAACTCGTCGAGTACCGGTTTTGCAGACACAATTATAGAACAATAGGTTGCGGTCACCGGTGACCGCTTGGTATTTGACAGTTTAAGCTTTATTTTTATAATATTTAAGATACTTCTTGTATTAAAACGTATAGTAATTACCTTGTTACCATTTGTTGATTCATCTATTATTTTTCTTTACAATTTCGGATGATAATTCTGGTCATTATCGTGTAATGTTATTGTATTATATACTAGTCTAAAGTTAAATAAATTAACTATTATAATTACATATATTATGTCTTCATTACCTTTGTTTTATTTTTTATTGGAATGGTTCTGCCCACGTAGTGCTTTGTTTTTTCACCAGAAGGTCTCTATTTTTGTACAGAAGAGGACCCAAACGAGGAGACGGATTACCTGATGGTAAGCAATCAGTGTCGCCCATGCAACACCAGGTCCTTTGCCGGCATTTTAAAAAGGAATACGCTATTTTCTTAAGACTTTGAAAGTCGCTCTACCTCTATATAAGAATATTGAAGTTAATAATGTACAAAGACCTTTTGATTGATCAAAAAACACTGATCTCCGAGACTTAGACTAATATTACTAGTCTTATTATCTTAGTATCTTATTATTATTATGAAAGCGAAAATTTGTGAGTTTGTGCGTATATTTATTACTTAACCACGTCAACGGCTGAAGGAATTGGTATGAAATTTAAAACAAGAGTAATTTTTATTCAACGAATGCGGGTAAAAACGCTAAAGTAAACGCTAGCAGAAGCCTGTAATAAATACAATAACACGAACTTAGTATTTCTCAGAAAATTCATTATCTATCGTGACATACATACGTACATACACAATATAGAAACCACACTCGTTCATAATCCGCGAGGTAATCTCGGAATATCTTCAAAGGCCTTTGTTTCAGGCTAAACGCAGCCGCAGTAGGAAATGTTCAGAGGTGCTTAGAGAACAGTAAGATTCCCTTTGAATATTGACTACAGTACATCAAAGATTATACCTACTTTCCTTTTAAATATTCGAGAAAAGACTAAGCCGGTGAATCGTTTCAATAATGAAAGAAAAGGCAATGAAAGAAAATGTATACCTAATTCCTTATTCCGCCCTTACGACCACTACTGAACGGTTCGGTAAGTTAATTGGTATCATCATCATCAACAGCCTATAAATGCTCACTGCTGAGCAAAGCCTCTTCTCACACGGAGAAGGTTTTAACAGAGCATTAATCACCACGCTTGCTCAATGCGGGTTGGCGATTTCAAACTTATAATTAGAAATTATCAGCTTAGGTGTCCTGACGATGATTTCCTTAACCGTTTGTCAGTTGTGTATAAATAAAAACGACGACGAAATGAAAAAATACGTGTCTAATATTTTTTCACTACCTAATTGACGGACTGTATAGATTTTTAATTTTCATACCCTGTCATCGTCCCTATTGGTATGCAGGTGTCGCGGAGAACCTAACGGGTAACCGGGGCTCCGGCTCGACGTACAGGAGAAGGAACGGGGTGGTTTTTAGTCAGTAAGAGTCTGACACTCCCTCCCGCCTCATCCAGGCGGGAGCAGTCATTCGATGAATGTCCACCCTTAAAAAAAAAAATGGTAAGAAAATATTCGATTTCTTAGTCGAATCGTTCGACACCAGCGGAAAGAGAAGCGGTGGTCCTAAAAAGTGTTCGACTCTACCTACCCGTATCCATGCACTCCAGTAACCAAAACTTATCTTTACGTATAGATAAATAAAATTGAAGTGTCTGTTTGTAATATAAAAATAACCGCTTTTTACTACATTCATATTCATACGATACATATACCAAAATAACATTTATATTATAACTTTCGTAAACATACTAAATTAATAAAATTTTTCGGCTTACCCACGTAATAATTTGGCTTGAAACTATGCGAGTTCTTCGTCAAATGATTACGTGCCGAAAAACATAATAATTAAATTTTTCTGTCTATCTTTTTGTACTGACTAAAATATATAGAATGGTTGCACCGATTTTGCCACACTTTTATTGGCAGGTAGTTAATGTACTAAGGAGTAACATAGGCTCCTTTTATTTTGGAAAGTGGAAACAAAAATACAGGTATGTCCTAAAACTCACATTCTAAGCGGACGAAATCGCGGGAAACAGCTAGTTAATAGATAAACTTATGTTGATCCTTAGAGGATAAAAGTGAAAACTACCAACACAGCCCAAAGTCCAAAGCCTAGCAGACCAACTCAGGAAAAGAGCTTGCCCACCACTATAAAACAAAGTTCATACTTTGTGCATTATATATAACAGTTGCAGGATACTTTGATCATACATAGTTTATAGTCCAGCTTTTCGGACAGACTGAAGTTATTTTACTTTACTTACTTTCGGGTTTCACTCTTCATTTTTAAGGAGCCTCTTAGGTAAGATAGGTGACGCTTAACGACATTTCTACTAACCTTCTATTTTTTTTTTTTTGACGCGGTGTTAAATTATGCAATAACTTCTCCCGCCCGGACTGCACTTCAGCCGGAGACCCGGCAACCCGTTAAGTCCTTCGCAGCTCCGTGTCGGCATCAACACTATTGGGCTGTGGTGGCTATCTGTGGTGGTCCGATGGTTCCGTGCAGCGCGCGCGGAACGCGACGCACCTCAAAATACGCTCTAACCTATAAGTGATACCTAACTGTAAAGGTAAAGGGTTAGTTCAGGTCCCTCTCGCTAAATAGCTCTTAGCTTATCTCTCAAGATGGATGATGGAAATGACCATTGGTATATTAATCCAATATTTCCACCAGTCATAATATTGCTAAACTAGGTAAATTTTGGAAATTCTCAATAGCAACATGGAGTCTAAAAGTAGTACTTATAACTACAGGTTTTCTAAACGGACCATGTTATACTGTAATTTGTGACTGCAACGCAATGGCCAGGCAACAAAACACAATAGCAGCCAGATAATGCAATTATATCCCGGCCATATAGCTAAATATTTGGTATAAACTTTATACCTACATGAAAGTGCTGGTTCCAAGAAAATGACCACATTCGTACACCTCTTCTAATAGACAAATAAGTTTAAATTTCTATAGAATAAAGGCTTAAACATAATAAAACATTAAAAGCTAAAATAATTACAATAATAAGTAAAGCTACTTTAGTGCGCAAAGTCATCAACCCTTAATTACACAGTCAATTGAGAAAATACTAATTTGACAAATAATATGAGAATGAGACAAGAACTTTGAACTACAAATTACACCCCAGACGAGTCTATAACATACTAATTACACAGTTTAATTACAATATTCCAAGTTAATTATCATGTAGAGTTTATACTCTAATGATATTCATAAAACTAGAATATGATTATGCTCCATTGTAGTCTGTGCCAAAAGATACCTTATCTATCCCAAACGATATCCTATAAGGATTGTGACATAGGGCAGATAGCCAACCACGATATTTATTATTTGGCAACTAACAATAGAGATTGTGTTGAACTTGGATAAGATCAAAATCCCACTTTTATATTGGGTGAAAGGAAATACAAGTACGTTTTCCTAGCAATAGCTTTCACTACAATGCTTTAGAAATCTAAAAGCTACGAAAAATGAATTGAAAAATGTAATGCAAATAGAATTTTCGATAATGTTGTGAAAAAATATCATTTATTCGTTTGACTGAACATCCACATATACACAGTGGAGACAGCAGAACCACAAACAATACTGGACCGGACACAGAACCAGTTTAATGTGAGAGTGGAACCAGGCAAGATCAACTTTGTACGACTGAGCATGAGGAGACTCATCGAAGCCAAGTCCTATCCGTACTTCACTCTGTTGCTGCAAAGCTTGGGCTCAATGATTCTTGGACTGGAAGCATATATGAAGCTTTAATCCTGTTTAGTATTTTATTCATCAAATAATTATACACAAACATACCTCACACAGCCTTGCGCACACATCACAAGAAGAACATGCTTCATTGAAATTTTAAATTACATAAAAAGTTAAACTTAAGAAACAAACATAACATTAAGAATAATATTTTTCGCAAATGAAAAAAATATACCATATCCTTATTCATTTTTACTTATTTATTAACAAGAGTTTTTATTCCTTTTATGATACCCGGCCAGTTTACCATGTGACCTCTATTCGTACCCATATAATAAATATGAGTAGATAGCAACGATTTACTGTTAATTCAACCATAAAA